CAATCCCTGATCAGCTACCTGTCGGAGCAAGATTTCGGCAGCTGTGCAGACTTGGAAAAGGTAAACAGAGCCTTGAGACGCAGATGCCGGTCAGTAAATCGGTGGGAACTGTGGAAAGCAGTCTCGGATCCCTGCTCTCCTCAGCATTTTTTTTTTTTGAACAAAGGAATCTGCGGTGGAGGGCACGCTAACGGCCCCCGTACCACGATACCTTCGTGCAAATGTCATGATTTAACACATCCTTCTGATACCCGTGCAGAATTGAATCACATTTGCCAGGACAATTCATCCCACAGGCATGTCTGTTTGACACTGTTTTTACAGTTTTAGCGTAGGAGTAGAGTCCCTTTTTAAAATTTTAAGCAGGGCTTCTCGGTTTCAGCGACCTTAAGAACAGACGGCCTTCAAGTCCCAGAATTCCCCAGCCGGCATGTATGATGGATGACAGGGTTTCTCATCCTTAGCAACTTTAAGACTTGTGGATTTCAATTCGCAGCTTGGGAATTCTGGGACTTGAAGTGGCGAAGGATGAGAAACATCGGTCTAAATGACGGTGGTCGTGAGGCAGTTGCCATGGTGGTCCAGCAAATCCATTCTTGGCCAGGGACCAGCTGCGCCGCAAATCAGATGTGAACATTAGGCTCCAGCAAAAACGCTGTAAAACACAATCGTGTGATTGCATAACAGTGCAAATGGCCATCAACACAGGCCAGTTGCTGGGACTACCTGTGTGTCATCGTTGGGCTGGATTTGACATCTTCTCCTTTAGTCAAACGTTTAATTCTCTACTTTGCGAACAGTTTGACAGCTTCAGAATAGAATAGAGCTGGAAGGGACCTTGGAGGTCTTCTAGTCCAGCCCCCTGCTCAAGCAGGAGAACCTACACCATCTCAGACAGGTGATTGTCTAGTCCAGTGGCAAGAGGTGGCAAGAGGTGCCCTCTCTGTGGGCACATGCACCGTCGTCCCAGCCCTGCCTCCTCCCATGGCCCCCTCCTCACCAGCAGACCCCCCAGAGGAGAGTCGCCCCGGGCACGGCCCATGCAAAGCAGCACAGCCAAGGACATGGTAGCCAGGCAGCGGGGACAAGACTCCGCCCTTGCGCCCCATCGCATGCAAATGATGCTGTGGGGCACGGGCGGAGGGCGTGGCCACCATGGTGCTGCTGGGCTGCCTGGGTGATCTGTAGCGGGCTGTGGAAGTGGTGGGTGGCCCAGCGGGCAGGGCGGAGCAGGGACAGGGTGGGGGGCGGTTTTTGGGCACTCGGTCTCTAAAAGGTCCAGTCTCTTCTTAAAAATCTCCAGTGATGGAGCGCCCACGATTTCTGGTGGCAGGCTGTTCCACTGGTTAATTGTCCTCCCTGTCAGGAAGTTTCTCCTTAATTCCAGCTTGCTTCTCTCTTTGATCAGTTTCCAACCATTGTTTCTCGTCCTTCCCTCTGGTGCTCTGGTGAACAACCTGACCCCCTCTTCCTTGTGGCAGCCCCTCACATACTGGAACGCTGCTATCCTGTCTCCCCTATTTCTTCTTTTCTTTAGACTAGCCAAACCCGAGTCCTGCAGCCGTTCTTTGTACGTTTTGGTCTCCAGGCCTTGGATCACCTTAGTTGCTCTTCTCTGAATTCTTCTTCTCTCCCTTCGTTCCAGGAAAACGCTCACTTCAGCATCTCCGAGTCGCTGATTGCGGCGATCGAGCTGATGAAGTGCAACATGATGAATCGTCAGATAGAAGAGGAGGAGGAAGAAAGTGACAAGGTGATACAAGACCTCAAGCAGAAGATCCGCATCCGCCGGCAACAGATTCGTACCCGCTACCTCCACCCGGCGTGCCAGGACGTGGGCTCTGACAGTGAGTGCTTCCTTTTTTATTTAAAAAGTTTTATTAACAGTTACAAAATAAGCCCAATAACCCTCCCCCTCACCCCCCCATCCCCCCCCACTTCCCGGAGCCAAATACAGTGTATTTCAAACATATTAAACATAATCTAATTAAGTTAACAAGTATATTAATCATAAGCTAAACAAGTTTAATAATTTATACAAGAATTAAAATCATACTTATAATAATAATTTATAATAATTGCTTATAAACTGATTGTTTATAATATGTTATAAACAATCAGTTTATAAGCAATTATTATATAATAAAGAAAAATTATAAAATATTATTAATAATACTTTTTTTAAATCACAAAATAAATGGAACTTTTCAGTTCCATATTTAGTCTGAATATAATCTATCCATCTTCTCCATACCATAATATATCTTTCTTGTGTATGATCCTTTAACTAAGCAGAAATTTTAGCCATTTCTGCCAGATTGGAAATCTTAAATGTCCATTCTTCTAATGTAGGCAATGAATCTTTCTTCCAATATTGACCTATCAATAACCTTGCTGCTGTAATTAAATTCAACATTAAAATAGTTTCTTTAACGTCAAAATCCTCAAAAACCCCTAATAAAAATAGTTGAGGAGTAAACTTTATCTTCCTTTAAAAAATACTTTGAATGTTCCACCAAATCATAATCCAAAAAGCTTCCTACCCTTTGGAAGGTTGCAAAGTTGAAATCCCAAAGGCTTCCTTGAAGCTGAATCCATCAGACAGACCTCAGGCTGTCTCTGAAACTGGATTTGGGACTGAATTCTGAAGTATCTAGTCCAGGCGTGTCAAAGTGCCGGCCCACGGGCTGGATGTGTCACCGCCGAAACCACGCCCAGCCCATTGCCGGCAATGGGGGAAAAAGTCACGTCACGTCGCGAGTTTGACGTGTCTGATCTAGTCCGTCTTTTCTCAACCTTAGCCATCTTTAAGACCTTTGAACTTCATGGCGCTGACTTAGTGTAGGGAATAAAAGGTAAAGAAGTCCCCACGTATTTTATTCCACTAGTCCAGTGGTGGCGAACCTATGGCATGCATGCCAAATGTGGCACTCAGAGACGGCTCTGAGGGCACGCATACCACCGCTGCCAGCAGCTTGCGCAGATCTATTAGGCCACTGCCCAGAGCGGCAGCCCCACCCAGCACAAAGGAGGCGAAGTGGCCAGCTAGCAAGCTCGAGTAGAGGTGGTAGAGCACGCCCACACCCAGCAAGCCAAAGGCCACCCCGAGCAGGGAAAGCCGGATCCCCATCGGCACCATGGCCCCCCCCAGTCCCAGCTAGGATTGTGTGCCTCCCCCCCATCTATGCTGGGCCTCCTGCCCACCACCCCACCCGCCAGAGACCCCCTGGATCTCCCCCAACCCTGCCTGGCTCCCACAGGTGTCTCCCCCATGAGCAACATTGAGGTGACCATACCCACCCCAGCCATGCCCACCCAGTGGGCCATGCCCCCATGCCTTCCCTGAGGGCACAATAATACTGATGTGATAAATAAGTGGGTTTTGGGTTGCGGTTTGGGCACTCGGTCTCTAAAAGATTCGCCATCACTGCGCTAGTCGTTGCTGAATCCAGGGGGCGATGCTCATCTCCGTTTCAAGGCCATTGAGCCAGCGCTGTCCGAAGACATTGCTGTGGTCATGTTGCCAGCATGACGTCACGCAGCGTTGTTATCTTCCCATGAAGTGGTCCCTATTTACCTACTCACATTTGCATGCTTGCAAACTGTTAAGTTGGCAGGAGCTGAGTTATGGACGGGAGCTCACTCCATCACACGGCGCTCAGGACTCAAACCTTCACCGCCAGCTTTCCAGCTAGCAAGCCCAGCATCTTTAACCGCTGAGCCACTGTGCAGCTCATTTGGATTTAATGACCACTACGAAAAAGGTCGTAAAATCAGGTCTGGTCACATGGTGTGTCTCGCTTTACAACTGTTACAACAGACGACTGTAAAATTGCAGGCCCAATTATGGTTGTAACTCGTCTGTTTCCTGTACTCTGTCCTATTGATAATGGTGAAGCATCTTCGTTCAATCTTTCTCGCTCTTGCAGGTCTGAAAGCGACAGACAGTGGATCGTACTTCAGCTCCCAAGACTCAACCTGTCCCTCCGACTCGGGATCTGCGGAAGAGGTGGATGAGTATGAGATCCGAGGTAGGATGACATGTGTAGAATGAGCCCCCAGCTACCCTTCCTTTATAGGTAGTCCTTGACTTACAACCATTCATTTAGCGACCGTTCGAAGTGTGGAGGAAAAACCCAATGAAAAAGACAAGAGGCAGCAGCACAAAACAATAACTCTTACTTTAAGATTCAGAGGTTTATTTTGCTAACGATTCGGAACATAGCAAGCGTAATAACACAACTTCACTTACATTAATAACCCGTTGCAATGAGGACCACGTGGCATAGCACATTCCAAAAGGACAGCTATAGGCCAATGGCAAATCAATCAGGTCCAGTCCCAACTCGTTATACCCTTTCCCGTTCTAAGACTGTAGTCAGATGGTCCGCTGACTTTTGCTGACTTTCTACTGACTTCCTACGGACCTTCTGCTGAACATAACTTTCCAAATATACCCGTGTACATTGGAACCCGCATCCATCAGCTACTTTCAGTTCCCCTTTTCCCACGGTTACAATATTCACGTTCCAAATATACACAGAGCTACCTACTTTGCAATTTCATATGGCACAGAGCTCAGCAGATTACAAATAATACGTCCGTATTGTGAAACAATATAGCGTTCGAGTTAAAGCTCTGTTTTAAATCACTACCGTGGGGCCTACCTCAGGTTTTGCTCCAGCCTCATCTTGTTATATGAGGAAGGGGCTATATTTTCATCTCCCACAGAAGTTACAACGGCACTGGAAAAAAAGTGGCTTAGGACCGTTTTCCACACTTAACGATTGTCGCAGCATCCTGTGGTGGCCTGCTCAAAATTCACACAACTGTTAGACCTGCCTCAGTCAGCCCTCTAGGAAAGTAAGACTCCTGAATCCTCTGAGTTGAATCGAAAGAATTTTTACTGAGAGTGCCAGCGCTGCTAATATCAGATGTTCTTGCTTTGACAACATATGGAAATGCAACCTTTTTCCTTCTTATGTTTTACTCTTAGAATTAGAGTTAGAATTAGATGATACTGAGGAGGGGAGGAGGAGGAACGTGCATGAGAGTTTAGCTAGACATAACAATACTGTAACCAGTGTGAGAACCAAGGTTTTTTTAAATAAGAGATGACAAGGAATGGCAGATGGGAGAACTGGAGGGAAGGCCTGCATTTCAAGCTAATTGGAGAATGTGATTTATGACTGTTAATTGGAGGAGGGAATTATGCTTTGATGCTATGTGCTCAGGGGAGGGGAATTCAGATTTTGGCTTGGCCCATGTACGTGCCGAAGCTATGCTACTCAAAGATTCTTTAAGGTAAACAATGCCTCGAAGTTCCTTGAAGAACTTCATCTGTCGGAACCATGACAGAGAGAAACTGGATGTAGTAAAGTCAGGCGGAATCTGACGGTCCCGCACGAAGCACAAAGCAATTCCATCGGTTGAGGCATGTTCTTCTGTCATCCCCATGTCCTGCAGATGGAAACGAAGGATCCAACCTGATTCACATGTTCAACAGTGAACTGTCCGTCTCAATGGCCTCGTTGTTTTCAGGTAATGACTTTCCCCTCCTGAACCCTTGGTAAGTCCGTATCAGATTTGGCAAAATAGATTAATAATAATAATAATAATAGGAAGGGACCTTGGAGGTCATCTAGTCCAACCCCCTGCTCAGGCAGGAAACCCTATACCATTCCAGACAAAGGGCTGTCCAGTCTCTTCTTAAAAACTTCCAGTGTTGGTGCATTCACAGCTTCTGGAGGCAGGTGATTCCACTGGTTAATTGTTCTCACTTTCAGGAACTTTCTCCTTAGTTCTGGGTTGCTTCTCTCCTTGATTAGTTTCCATCCGTTGCTTCTTGTCCTGCCTTCAGGCACTTTGGAGAATAGCTTGACTCCCTCTTCTTTGGGGCAGCTCCTGAGATACTGGAACCCTGCTATCATGTCCCCCCTCGTCCTTCTCTTCGTTAAACTAGACATACCCAATTCCAGCAGCCTTTTCTTATATGCTTTAGCCTCCAGTCCCCTAATCATCTTTGTTGCTCTTCTCTGTACTCTTTCTAGAGTCTCAACATCTTTTTTACATCGTGGTGACCAAAACTGGACGCCGTATTTCAAGTGTGGCCTTACCAAGGCCTTGTAAAGTGGTATTAATACCACTTTCGATGTTTAGGTTAGATGTCAGGCCTGCCCCGACTTGGTCTTTAAGTATGAAAGACCCCCTTTGTAGCAAAAGGTATACTTTACTAAAAGCCAAGTGGTTTACCATATAGCAAAGCCAGAACTTAAGTTCCCGCGCCAAACTTTCCCGGTTAAATTTCCTGTCCAGTTCTTCCTCCTTGCTGGGCTCTTATTGTTCAATTCTATTTGAGTAAATTGTTTTGGGACCTGTCTCTTCAAGGGGCGGGCTGGTTGGTGAGGGGTTACATTCCATTCCCAGCACTTTGACAATGAGATGGTATGTCCCCTCCGGGAGGTACGCTGAATAGTTAGCCTACCCCCTTCCCAATCGGCTCCCCCCCCCCATATTTCATGGCAGACTGGCAGCTAGCTGGATGCAAAGCTCAGATCAATGACTGCAGTCACTTTTTGGATGGGTCAGGAGATTACCTGTCCCACCTGACGCCTTCCAGATGTCTTAAGGCTGAACATCTGGCTGACCTGATTTAATCTCAGGAGTTGAATCCCAAGTCACTGTTTCCAACCAGTTGCATGGAATCAGGATGATATTAAGGCAAGCTGAACTATGTCCCCGTGACGATAGATAGATGATTGATAGATAGATAGATAGATAGATAGATAGATAGATAGATAGATAGATAGATAATAGATAGATAGATAGATAGATAGATAGATAGATAGATAGATAGATAGATAGATAGATAGGTGGGTGGATGAGTGGGTGGGTGGATGGATGGATGGATGGATGGATGGATAATAGATATTAGATAGGTAAAGAATGATAGGTAGGTAGGTGGGTGGGTGGGTGGATAATAGATGTTAGATAGGTAATGGATGATAGGTAGGTAGGTAGATAGACATATATGATAGATGGTAGATAGGTAGGTAAGTAGGTAGATAGATAGGTAGATAGGTAGATGGGTGGGTGGATGATGGATGGATAATGGATGTTAGGTAATGGATGATAGACAGGCAGATAGATAGATAGATAGATAGATAGATAGATAGATAGATAGATAGATAGATAACCTTTGTTGCCATTTTTTACTGTGGGCACAACGGCACACATTAAAAATGATCTTTAGTTGCCTCCTCTCAAAGTGTACACATACATAACACACATTTAAAAACATACCATATTCAACATACGTATCGGCCTGCACCCTTCCGTATAAGTAACATATAAATATTAATCACTGTCCATCTTGAATACATAACGGAAGGCGGAAGCTTTAGACTTCACAAGGTTAATACAAGGTTCATTTGAAGACTTCTGTCGGCCTGTAGTTGCCCAGTTCTGGGCAAAGAGTATGTCTTCCCTAAACGCCGCTGAAGATGTTACCTAGCCTGGTCACGAAACGTTCAGAGACCAACCCACCAGCTCAGTATGTCTTCTTCTCTATCGCTGCTGTTGCTTTGACAAATGTAGGTTAGGATCAAGGTTTGCATTGCCCAGTGCCCACAGTCTCCTTAAAACATTTTTACATTTTTCAGGTGTGGATAACCAATTTGCCTTCCTGGTTTGCCCATGTTAAGGCCCTTCTGAATCCAGGATTCATCTGCTCTGTTGCCTCTGGAAATATGTAGGCAGAATTCCTGGTCTAGAACTAGATAAAGTCTAAGCCGGTGTTTCTCAATCTTGGCCACATGAAGATGGGTGGACGTCAACTCCCAGAATTTCCCAGCCAGCATAACTTATACTCTCTTGTAATCCCTCCCTCTGCACTCTCTCCGCTTTAGGGAGTAAGAGGGAAAAAAAAAACTCCAGGCACGGCTGGCTGGGGAATTCTGGGAGTTGAAGTCCATATATCTTCAAGTTGTCATGGTTGAAAAACTCTGGTAGGCAGGTATGACCCTTTCCTAGACAGGAGCAGATGGTTCTGAGAGTGTGAGGAAGTTGGTGGTATTGTCTTCGATGAACATTGTGCAAAGACCTGCTTGGATGAGGGTTTGACTTGCCAGATCCAGAAGTATCTCTGTAGAGCTGAGAACTTCCCTAGTAAGAGTTATTAGACCTTTAATCAGTGAGTGACCCATTTAGGGGCTTAAATCAATAGAAATCCATCAGATCAAATATGGTATAGAGCAAGGGTAGGCAACCTTGGCTCTTTTATGACTCGTGGACTTCAACTCCCAGAATTCCTGAGCCAGCATGGCTCAGCTTGGAAACCTCTCCCTTTCCCTTCACCGTGGCTGGCTCAGAAATTCTGGGAGTTGAAGTCCACCAGTCATAAAGCGGCCTAGGCCTAGAGCAGGGTTGGGTAACCTTGGCTCTTTTATGGCTCGTGGACTTCAACTGCCAGAATTCCTAAGCCAGCATGGGGGAACTATGGCCCCCTCATGACTCGCGGACTTCAACTCCCAGAATTCCTGAGCCAGCATGGCTCAGCTTGGAAACCTCTCCCTTTCCCTTCACCGTGGCTGGCTCAGAAATTCTGGAAGTTGAAGTCCACCAATCATAAAGCGGCCTAGGCCTAGAGCAGGAGTAGGCAATCTTGGCTCTTTTATGACTCGTGGACTTCAACTCCCAGAATTCCTGAGCCAGCATGGGGGAACTATGGCCACATGACTTCTGGACTTCAACTCCCAGAATTCCTCAGCCAGCATGGGGAAACTATGGCCCCTTCATGACTCGTGGACTTCAACTCCCAGAATTCCTCAGCCAACCTGGCTCAGCTTGGAAACCTCTCCCTTTCCCCTCAGCATGGCCAGCTCAGGAATTCTGGGAGTTGAAGTCCACGAGTCATAAAAGCGCCAAGGTTGCCTCCCCCTGGTATAGAGTTTCCTGCTTGTGCAGGGGGTTGGACTAGAAGACCTTCAAGGTCCCTTCCAGCTCTGTTATTCTTTTATTTCAAATTTGGTACTTCCTCATCTCTGTTCTGTTGCCACTTAGATGCGGACATCAAGAGGAACCGGCCTCCGAGCAAAAAGTCCTTCCTTTCCTCTAGTTCCACGTACGTATGCCTGCTGCTGATGCTTCATCCTCCCTCTCTCCCTCAGCCTGGCCCAACCTGGGTTCAGCTACAGGTAGACCTGTACAGCTGGAGGTAGATGCTGGAAGTCATCTTCAGGACGCCTCAATTAAAAACCGACTTACAGCGATGAGGCAGGACTTGCCGGAGAGCCTCCCGTTGCTCATCCATCTTGCAGCAAGATGGCCTCAGCAGGAAGTAACCCAGAAGCCCCGGGGTTGAGGAAAGCATTTGCTTCTATCCTCCATGGGGGGTGCAGAAGGGATTCAGCCCAGCATGGACCATGCAGGAGAAGCAGCAGTAATTAAGACCAAATGGGAGTCAGTCCAGTCCAGTACACAGGAGGGGGTGTTTCATGTGGCTAGGGCAGGGAGGACACTTCTAGCACGGGATACATGGTGGGAAATGTGCTGTCAGTCAATTGGACAGGAAGGAGGAGGAGAAGGAGGGAAGAGAGGAGACAGAAATAAAAGGGAGGGAGGAAGGAAGGAAGGAAAAAGAAAGAAAAAGAAAGGAAGGAAGGAAGAAAGAAAGAAAGAAAGAAAGAAAGAAAGAAAGAAAGAAAGAAAGAAAGAAAAGGGAGGGAGGGAGGGAGAGGGAGATGCAAGAAGGGAAGAGAGAAATAGGAAGGGAGGATGGGAGGGAGGGAGGAAGGAAGGAAAAAGAAAGAAGAAAAAAAGAAAGAAAGAAAAAGAAAAAGGGAGGGAGATGGAAGGAGGGAAGAGAGAAATAGGAAGGAAGGATGGGAGGGAGGGAGGGAGGAAGAAAAGGAAAGAGAAAAAAGAAAAAAGGGAGATGGAAGGAGGGAAGAGAGAAATAGGAAGGAAGGATGGGAGGGAGGGAGGGAGGAAGAAAAGGAAAGAAAGAAAAAAGAAAAAAGAGGGAGATGGAAGGAGGGAAGAGAGGAGACAGAAATGAGAGGAAGGGAGGGAGGGGAACGGAGGAGATGGAGGGAGGGAGAGGAGGCAGAAATGAGGAAGGAGAGAGTAAGAAGGGGAGAGGAGACCAAAATGAGAGGAAGAAGGAGGGATAAAGGAAGAAAGGGGGAGAGGAGAAGATACAGAAATGAGGGGAAGGAAAGAGGGAGGGAAGGAAGGCCGGAAGGAAGGAAAGGAAGAAAGAAAGAAAAAAGAAAAGAAAAAGAAAGGAAGAAAGAAAAAAGAGGGAGATGGAGGGAAGAGAGGAGACAGAAATGAGAGGAAGGGAGGAAGGGGAGCGGAGGAGACAGGGAGGGAGGGAGAGGAGGCAGAAATGAGGAAGGAGGGAGGGAGAGGAAGAATGAGAGAGGGAGAAAGGAAGAAAGGGGAAGAGGAGAAGAGACAGAAATGAGAGGAAGGAGGGAGGGAAGGAAGGAAGGTGGGAAGGAGACGGGAATGAGCAAGGAAAACGTCCGGTTCCCTCCCCCAATGGCTTCTTCCAGGAAAGAAAGTTCCTAATCCTGCCAGTAGGGGGGGAGTCTAAGGCAACCTTTTTCAACTACGACAACTTTCCAAGCGTGTCAATTTCAGCTCTTAGAATCCCTCCGCCAATTTAACGCTGGGAGTTGAAGTCCACCCATCTTAAAAGTTGTCAGGATCGACTGGGTGGGGAATTCGGTTGAGCTCTGCCCGTAATAACTTGGGGATTTCTGGGAGCCGAAATCCATACACCTTAAAAGTTGCCGCGATTGAAAGACCCTGATCCGGGCATCTTGTATCCCAGGGGTCTTCCAACTCGGCCCTTTGATGACTTGTGGGCTTCAACTCCCAGAATCCCTCAGCCAGCGTGCAACGCTGGCTGAGGGATTCTGGGAGTTGAAGTCCACAAGTCATCGAAGGGCCGAGTTGGAAGACCCCCGCGTTAATCCTGTTGCTTTACAGTGGTTGTCATTTCTCCCGCTTCCTCCAGGAGCTACCACACCATCCTCAATTCGAACTCGGCAGAAGCCGTAGCTATGGGCTTGCTGAAGCAGTTTGAAGGAATGCAACTGCCCGCAGCCTCTGAATTGGAGTGGCTGGTTCCCGAACACGACGCCCCGCAGAAGGTAAGTTCTTACCAAACATGAGTTTCTCGTTCTCCGGGCAGAGGGTGAGCTAAGCATCCTCCTATGTCATTGATCCTCGTCTGGTTCCTACTGGATATCTTAAAATGCAGCTCTCCTGAACGAGTTGGGAAATTGGAACGAGTTGAGACACGACAGGGCAAGTAGGACTTTTTTTTAAAAAAAATTCTTCTTTTCCTTCTTCATTAAATTTGAATGAGATTAGAATTCCATTAATTTTTTATTATTATTTTCTTCAAACGGTCAAATGCGCAAGCTTCAAAAACGTTTTTACAAAGACGAAATAAAACTAGATCCCAAAAAAGGTGCATTTAAAAAAAAAAAAGCACGAGGAGGAATTCTCATTCAATTTTATGGACATGTTTAAGACCCCCAAAGCAGTTGACCAGTACAGTCTAAAATTTAGCGTTAGATGAAACATTTTAAGAAGCGTTTTAATATTTCAGAATGACTCCCAACCCCAATTCGTTAACTCATTTGTTAGGAAAAGCCTTTTTTTTTAAATAGCCAAAGTTAAAAAAAAAAAAACTAGCTGTTGCCGCTCTAATGTTAGGATTTTCACCAGCCAGTAAAATGTTTACACACTCAGAATTGTACAGAATATTACTTTACTGTTGTAGGCTGTATACGTTGTCCTCGGGTTATGACGGCAATTGGGACCGGAATTTCCATCACTAATGGTCGTTAAATGTGATGTCATTTGACCACATTGCTTACAGACAACAATTCTCGCAGTCCTGGTTGTCATCATAACCTAAGGACTGCGTGGGACATCAAGCGAGGACCTTGCACATTTGCGACTTTTGACTTCCGGCTTCTGCTGGCTTCCCCAATGACTTGCTTGTGGAAAGCCAGCAGGGAATGTCGGAAATCGCAATCGTGTGTCCACGGGTTGCTGTAACAGCCAAAACACCAAGGACCAGCCGTAAATCCCAGCCGTTGTAAGTTTGAGCAGCCGCCGAAGAAGCAGTAGCAACCCACGGACTTCCTTAAGTTTAAGTTTAAATGAAGTTTCACTGTAGGATAAAAACACCGAGGAAAACAAAAGTTAGAAAAATAAGAAAAGGAATAAGGAAAGCACAAAGAGAAATAGAAGTCATTACAAAAAAGATTACAAAAAGGATCACAACATCAAACCTTTGACTTTACACTTCACCATGTTTCGAACCGTTGCTGTCATTGCAAAATCCTCTAATCATCAAAACCTAAAACCAACGTTTCGTTTCTGGATAAATTCTTTCCTTAAAACAGTCAAAATATTGCCACTCCGCTAACTCCATCACCTTTGCAATCCCCCAGGCCCCTTTTTCTAATGCGGAAATTAGGCCACAGCTCTTTGCTTTTTGTGCTTTACAAGGCTTATTTATTTGTTTGTTCAATTCATTTGCTACCTATCTCACTGCGGGGTTACTCAATCAATCAATCAGAATAGAGTTAGAAGGGACCTTGGAGGTCTTCTAGTCCAGCCCCTGCTCAAGCAGTAGACCCTATATGATTTCAGACAAATGGTTGTCCAATCTCTTCTCAAAAACCTCCAGTGATGAAGCACCCACAACTTCTGGAGGCAACTTTTGTTCCACTGGTTAATTGTCCTCACTGTCAGGAAGTTTCTCCTTAGTTCCAGGTTGCTTCTCTCCTTGATTAGTTTCCATCCGTTGCTTCTTGTCCTGCCTTCAGGCGCTTTGGAGAAGAGATGGACCCCCCCTCCCCTCTTTTTTATGGCAGCCCCTCAAATACTGGAAGACTGCTATCATGTCCCCCCCCCCCCCAGTCCTTCTTTTCTCTAGACTGGCCATTCCCAAATCCTGCAGCCATTCTTCATATGTTTTTGCCTCCAGGCCTTTAATCATCTGAGTTGCTCTTCTCTGCACTTTTTCCAAAGTCTCAACATCTTTTTTGTAATGTGGTACTCTATAGGTCAGGGGTAGGCAACCTTGGCTCTTTTATGACTCCCAGAATTCCTGAGCCAGCATGGGGGAACTATGGCCCCTTCATGACTCGTGGACTTCAATTCCCAGAATTCCTCAGCCAGCGTGGGGAGACTATGGCCCCTTCATGACTTGCGGACTTCAACTCCCAGAATTCCTCAGCCAGCATGGGGGAACTGTGGCCCCTTCATGACTTGCGGACTTCAACTCCCAGAATTCCTGAGCCAGCATGGGGGTACTATGGCCCCTTCATGACTCACGGACTTCAACTCCCAGAATTCCTCAGCCAGCATGAGGGAACTGTGGCCCCTTCATGACTTACGGACTTCAACTCCCAGAATTCCTCAGCCAGCATGGGGGAACTGTGGCCCCTTCATGACTTGCGGACTTCAACTCCCAGAATTCCTGAGCCAGCATGGGGGAACTGTGGCCCCCTTGATGACTTCTGGACTTCAACTCCCAGAATTCCTGAGCCAACATGGCTCAAGCTTGGAAACCTCTCCCTTTCCCCTCAGCACGGCTGGCTCAGGAATTCTGGGAGTTGAAGTCCACCAGTCATAAAAGAGCCAAGGTTGCCTACTCCTGCCATAGGTGACTTACCATAATAAAAAGGAAGAAAACAAAAGGAGCGTAAACAGAACAGAAGTACAATACTAGAACAATAAAATAAACATTGTATTGGTTTTCAGGGTCCCTTAATGTTTCTTAAAAAGCTTTTTAAGCGCCCCAAGTGGTATAAGAAACGACGGCTTTCCCGGAAGCTACTGCTGGTATGTCCAAAGAGGAGCATTGTGCCGTGTGTGCGCTTAACGGCTTTTCTGAAATGCGCACAAGAGATGCGTTGGGAAGGCTGCTGTGGTTTGATGTGGGTTGTAGCGCCCAGGTCCGTGGCAGAAGAGGACAAAACAGACAGTCCTCGACTTACGACCATAATGAAGCCCCAGATTTCTGTGGCTAAGCGAGACGTTTGTTAAGTGAGTTTTTGCCCCATTGTGCGACCTTCCGTGCCTCCATGAATCGCTACAGTTGGTAAGTTACTAATATGGTTGTTAAGTGAATCCAGCTTCCCCCCGTTGACTTTGCTTGTCAGAAGGTCGCAAAAGGGGATCCCGTGACCCGGGGGGACACTACGACCGTCTTAAATACAAACTGGTTGCCAAGCGTCTGGATTTTGACCGTGTGATCATGGGGATGCTGCAAAGGTCGTAACTGTGAAAAATGGTCGTGAGTCACTTTTTTCAGGGCCGTTGTAACTTTGAACGGTCACTAAATGGACGGTCGTAAGTTGAGGACTACCTGTATTGGGCATGTAACCAGGGCTGTTTGCAGGGGACCCCAGCAGCTCAATCATCTCGGTCTGAGTTTCATAAATACGGGTGCTAAAGATTGCATCCTTAGGCCAGGACTTCTGATATAATTTGAACATATTTTGCAGTGTGACGGATCAGCCACAGAAGCGAAGTCGAGTCTAAGACTTATCTACAGATAGTCCTCAACGTATGACCACAATTGACCCCAAAATTTATGTTGCGAAGTGAGAAATGTGTTGCTGAGCCTTGCCCCATTTTACAACCTTCCTTGCTGCAGTTGTTTTGTTAAGTGAATCACTGCAGTTGTTGGGTCGTGAAGTGAATTTGTCTTCCCCATGGACTTTGCTTGTCAGAAGGTCCACAAAAGGGGATCGCGTGACTCTGGGGGACATTGCAACCATCATAAGGATGAGACAGTTGAATTTCGATCATGTGACCATGGGGAATGCTGCAACGGTCGTTAAGTGTGAAAAATGGTCGTAACTCGCTTTTTTCAGTGACGTTGCAACTTTGAACGGTCACTAAGTGAACTGTTGTATGTCGAGGACTACCTGTAAGGGATACAGACTAGACAATGGACAAGCCAACTCCAAAAAAACGCCAGAGAATTCCTGGAAGTCTGGCACTTGGAGAAATCGGCCATCAATAGGCACCTAAAGATAAACAACGTTTACACACCGTTCAAAGAGACCCAAAGATCAAAAATGTCACTTTGCCAACAATCTACATGGCAAATAAGCAGAGATTAAAGCACCAGGATTAACACCAGACCAGCAAGGAGCAAACAACAACCCCAATCAAGGAAATACTAACTCAAGGAGTACCTGTACTGTGTGATTGTTTGCCTTATAGAAGGAAAAGTCCCATCTGGGGTGCCAAATTGTTGAAGGAAAAGTCTTCATCAGGGTTCAGTCCCAGCCGGGAATAAACAACATGGCGACTGCTTTAGAAAGAAGGTTGCAGTTTATTCCCAGCTTGGACTGAACCCTGACGAAGACTTTTCCTTCAACAATTTGGCGCCCCGGATGGGACTTCTCCTTCTACAAGGCAAACAATCACACAGTACAGATAATCCCTGACTTACGACCACAATTGAATCCCAACATTCCTGTTACTAAGTAAGTGAATTTTCCCCCATATTACGACCATTTTTTGGCCTCTGTGGTCAAGTGAATCACTGCCGTTGTTAACACAGTTGCTAAGTGGATCTGGCTTCCCCATGGACTTGGCTTGTCAGAAGATTGCAAAAGGGGAATCAACTGACCCCGGGACACTGCGACCGTCATAAATACAAGCCATGTAAATGTAAATCGCACGATTACGGAGAGGCTGCAACGCTCATAACTGTGAAAAACGATCACAAGTCACTTTTTCAATGCCGTCGTAACTGCCAGCGGTCACTGAATGAACTGTTGTAAGTGGAGGACTGCCTCCATTTAACATTGAAGTTTGTCCAGCTGTGAGGCTTCTAGCAATGCTGCAGTCATAAGAAGGTATTAGATTAGAGCAGGGGTCTTCAAACTTGGCCCTTTTATGACTTGTGGACTTCAACTCCCAGAATTCCTGAGCCAGCATGGGGGAACTATGGCCCCCCTCATGACTTGTGGACTTCAACTCCCAGAATTCCTGAGCCAGCATGGGGGAACTATGGTCCCCTCATGACTCATGGACTTCAACTCCCAGAATTCCTGAGCCAGCCTGGCTCAGCTTGGAAACCTCTCCCTTTCCCCTCAGCATGGCGGGCTCAGGAATTCTGGGACTTGAAGTCCACAAGTCATAAAAGGGCCAAGTTTGAAGACCCCTGATGTAAGGCAACTTGGTGGAAGTAGAATGGCTAAGCAGAAATAAGTTGAAGGAGGGGTCTTCAACCTTGGCCACCTCACGACTTGTGGACTTCAACTCCCAGAATTCCTCAGCCAGTGTGCCTGGCTGAGGAATTCTGGGAGTTGAAGTCCACAAGTCATCAAAGGGCCAAGTTTGAAGACGACCCCTGGATTAGAGGATTTTACAGAAAGAACAGCCCTGTTTACATACCTTGAAAGTGCAAAAGCCGAACCAAAGATCATTGCTTTGTGTGACGAAAGTGTGATTTCACACTGTTGAAAACCACTAACAATGCTAGTGTGGGGTCTCTTAGGTGGTCTTAGCACCTGGCCAGGATCCCCCTCTGCCTTCCCGTGCTATTTTAACTCAAGCTCTTTCCGATGCACTCCTGCATCAGCTTTGCAAATAGGTCATAGCTGCAACTGATAGTTCTTGTGTTTTCAGCTTTCCCCTCTACAATGCTGCTTTCCTCTGAGTGAATCACTGCAGTTGTTAGTAGTAGTAGTAGTAGTAGTAGTAGTAGTAGTAGTAGTAGTAGTAGTAAAGTTGGAAGGGACCTTGGAAGTCATCTAGTCCAACCCCCTGCTCAGGCAGGAAACCCTATACCAGGGGTAGGCAACCTTGGCTCTTTTAGGACTCGTGGACTTCAACTCCCAGAATTCCTGAGCCAGCTATGATGGCTCAGGAATTCTGGGAGTTGAAGTCCACGAGTCATAAAAGAGCCAAGGTTGCCTACCTCTGCCCTAGACCATTCCAGACAAATGGCTGTCCAGTCTCTTCTTAAAAACTTCCAGTGTTGGAGCATTCACCGCTTCTGGTGGCAAGCAGTTCCACTGGTTAATTGTTCTCACTGTCAGGAAGTTAAATGAATCCGGTGTCCCCATTGACCTGACTTGTGAGAAAGGTCGCAAAAGGAGATGATGTGATCCCAGGACATCGCAACCCTCCTAAATATGAGCCAGTTGCCAAGGGGCTGAATATTGGTGACCACGGGGAGGCTGCAACGGTCATAAGTGTGAGAGCTAGTCATAAGTCACCTTTTTCAGGGCCACTGTGTAACTTCAAACAGTTCTAAACAAACTTTGCACGTCGAGGTCTATCTGTATTAATATGGCTTTCTGTAATTTCCAAAAGGCAAATTCCTTTTAATTTTGCCGCTTATTCCTGTCTAAAAAAATCTCCTCCAAAGGTAAATACATTTTTAGAAAGAATTTTAACCCAGCCTTATGGAGACAGTCCAAAACTTTTTCTTTTTTTTTAAGTGAGCACTATATAAAAACTGGAAATTTTTAAGAAGCCTTTTGTCTGAAATGGTATAGGGTTTCCTGCCTGAGCAGGGGGTTGGACTAGATGACCTCCAAGGTCCCTTCCGAGTCTGTTGTTCTTTTCCTTCCTTCCTTCCTCCATCCTTCCTTCCTTCTTCCTTCCTTTTTTCCTTCCTCCATCCTTCCTCCTTCCTTCCTTCTCCAACACTGGAAGTTTTTAAGAAGAGACTGGACAGCCGTTTGTCTGAAATGGTATAGGGTTTCCTGCCTGAGCAGGGGGTTGGACTAGATGACCTCCAAGGTCCCTTCCGAGTCTGTTATTCTGTTCTTTTCCTTCCTTCCTTCCTTCTTCCTTCATTTTTTCCTTCCTCCTTCCTTCCCTCCTTCCTTTTTCCATCCTTCCTTTCTTCCTTCCTTCTTTCATCCTTCCTTTCTTCTTCCTTCCTTCCTTCCTTCCTTCCTTCCTTCCTTCCTTCCTTCCTTCCTTCCTTCCTTTCTTCCTTCCTTCCTTCCTCCATCCTTCCTTCCTTTTTTCCTTCCTCCATCCTTCCTCCTTCCTTCCTTCTCCAACACTGGAAGTTTTTAAGAAGAGACTGGACAGCCATTTGTCTGAAATGGTATAGAGTTTCCTGCCTGAGCAGGGGGTTGGACTACATGACCTCCAAGGACCCTTCCAACTATTGTTGTTGTTGTTGTTATTATTATCCATTGCAATGTTTCCGGACCTTGGTCCCTTGAAGGTGTGAGGACGTCAACTCCCAGCATTCCCGAAAGCAGGCTGGGGAATTCTGGGAGTTGAAGCTCACCCATCTTCCAAGTGATGAAGTTTGAGGAACATGGGTCTATTGTAAGAACAGATTAATCTCCAGGCTGATGAATTTTACCAGACATAGGAGGATTCTTAAGTTAGATGTCAAACAAATTAAACTTATATTTCATCAGGAGATTCTGGCAAAAGGAGAAAGATGCTTTTTAAGTCAGGGAAGGGATGAATCGAAACCATTCTTCTGCAAAGCAGTATTCTTTAACCTTGCCACAGATTGGGCTGGATTTCCAGTTAGAGCACACGGGCTAGAGTCCACTAATAATTTTTGTAAAAAAAAAAAAACCCCAAATAAATTAAACAAAATGTTGGCCTCAAAAGGTAACGTACCTGAAGGGTAGAAAGTTGGAAAATAACAGAAGAACAGTGTTGGAAGGGACCTTGGAGGTCTTCTAGTCCAACCCCCTGCTCCTTCTATTCGTGCAGTATGTCAGTCTGTAGATGCCATACACGGAATACATTGATCAATCAGAATAGAGCTGGAAGGAGGTCTTGGAGGTCTTCTAGTCCAACCCCCTGCTCCAGCAGGAGACCCTATATCCCATTCCAGAGAAATAGCTGTTCAATCTTTTTTTTAAAACCTCCAGTGATGGAGCCCCTACAACATCTGGTGGCAAGCTGTTCCACTGATTAATTGTGCTCACTGTCAGGAAATTCCTCCTTAGTTCCAGGTTGTTTCTCTCCTTGATGAGTTTCCATCCGTTGCTTCTTGTCCTGCCTTCAGGCGCTTTGGAGAAGAGCTTGACTCCCTCTTCTTTGGGGCAGCCCCTCAAATATTGGAACACAGCTATCCTGTCACCCCCCACCTCATTAAAAGCAGGCCACAACCAAAGAGAACAGCGGCATTGTTCATGGTGTGCATTGGATTTACTTCCTTTTTACAGCTATTGCCAATTCCCGATTCCGTGCCCATCTCCCCGGACGACGGCGAACACGCTGATATTTACAAGCTCCGCATCCGGGTACGGGGGAACCTGGAGTGGGCCCCCCCACGCCCGCAGATCATCTTCAACATCCACCCGGCACCGACGTAAGGAGGGCCGTTTACAGTCTGCGATGTGTGTGTGTGTGTGTGTGTGTGTGTGTGTGTGTACATACAGCAGTGGCCAAAATTGCGGAAACCTTTTGGGGGAAGTGTATTTTTGAGGTTTGATGGCAAGTAACACCACTTTTTTTTTTTTTGGAGCAGTAGCATAAAATTACATATCCATGGAAAGATAATTTAATCAGGAACGTAATGCAACATAGTCTGTTCAATTATCTGTACTGTATTCTACAAAAAGGTATAGCCAAAGAACCAGAAAAAGGTAACCCAATTTGCTTAGGTTGATCTCAGACAGCTTTCCTTCATCGGATTGTAGCCAATGAGCACGAGTGTTTAGAGAGCCAATCGGGTGTCGTCTTGTTTTGGTCATGAGCCAATCAGATCACAGTAGGATCCAGTGATTGATCCCATGTCTTGAAGCGGAGAGGAGAACATTGGTCAGTGTGTTATGTGATGCGCGATCAAGTTGGTTGGGGGTTTTTTGTGTTCTTTCGTTGAGTGAGCTTGTAAAACGTCATAAAATTAAAGCGGCGGTGCAAAGAGTTGACCGCTCGCCCAGAAAGCGATGTAAAATAGTATTTATTAAGTCAGTGGTTCTCAACCTTTTTAATGCAGCGACTCCCAACCGGTCGTAAGTCGAGGACTACTCAACCGGTCGTAAGTCGAGAACTACTCAACTGGTGCAGCACCGTTTGCAGAATGGGACTTTTGGCGGGCTCAGCAGGGCAGAGACAGCCTGGACAATTCCTATTGGCTTTTGAAAGCAAATAGAATTAGACTCTATTCAAGAGAGTCTATTCTATTGGCTTTCAAAAGCCAATAGAATAAAAGGGAGGAGCACAGCTAAGGAAAAGGGGAAAAAAATGGCGGACTGCATTGTTTGGCGACCCCCGTGAAATGGTCGTTCGACCCCAAATGGGGTCCCGACCCACAGGTTGAGAACCACTGTATTAAGTGAAGAAGGCTACAGCTATAAAGAAATGAGAAGAAAAATGGGTGGAAACTTAACCAAAGGTGGCGTTTCTACTGGACACTTTTCCACAATTTTGGCTACTGCTGTACGCGTGTGATCCCCAAGAGACTCCTTGCTATCCTAAATAGGTGCTGCTCAAAGAAGCAGCAAGTGTGACAATTGTGGTTCCCCCCCCCCCACAAAACCATCCCCTCTTTCTCCCCTCCCCCCTTCTCCAAGCCCCCAATCCGGAAAGTTCCAGGAACTTTGATCTAAGATGGCCAAAGGGACACCTGGGAAATTGGTTTTCTCTGAGGACGATGCCCTCAAACTTTCGCCCATCCCCGGCTAACAACATCCATTGATGGAGACTTTCACCTCTTCAAGGCCGAGAAGTGAATTGGACACGAGGGTTTTTTTTTTTTTCCTTTAATGTCCCGAATTTCTGTTCTGTAGGAGGAAGGCAGCAGTGGCCAAGCAGAACTACCGCTGCGCCGGCTGCGGGATCAGGACAGATTTTGGTGAGTTTTTGGCTTGCAAGAGTTCGGCAGGACCAACGTTGGCCTAGATCAGGGGTAGGCAACCTTGGGAGGCCGGGATGCGGGTCTGTACTCAGGCCTGGATTGGGGGAGGACCGGGGGGGTCCCTTCCCTCGCAGCCTCAATCAGACGAGATTCCCCCCTCTGCTAATCCTCTATCCTCAAAGATAGACTGCCTCTGGACTTGGAGGCTCCATTGTGGCTTTAATAACAATAATAACAATAACAATAATAATAAAGTTGGAAAGGACCTTGGAGGTCATCTAATCCAACCCCCTGCTCAGGCAGGAAACCCTATACCCCACAATCATAATAATATCATCATTAGCTGTAACTTCGTGTTCGCCTGCTGGGCCAGGTTTAAGAGCCCATGCAAAACACTAAAAAGCGTGACTACTAGTTATGGCAGTCATTGCTGCTCTATTATTATGGCAGTAGTTTATTACTTATTACTAACTGCCATAACTAGTACCCATGAGAACCTATGTAATAATAAAGTTGGAAGGGACCCTGGAGGTCTTCTAGTCCAACCCCCTACTCAGGGAGGAAGCCCTATACCAGGGGTAGGCAACCTTGGCTCTTTTATGGCTCGTGGACTTCAACTCCCAGAATTCCTGAGTGAGCTATGAACTGTCGTAAGTAGAGGACTACTTGTAGAAACGAAGTTACACCTAGGCGGGCAGACCCAGTCCGTCAAACTCGGCCTCGATTCTAGAACGTTCCGAGCTCTGGTCGTCGGCCCCAGCGCTCACGGACAATCGGGAATCGAAACGCTCCCCCTGTGGAGCAGTCCTCTCTTAAACCTCTTTCCCTTCCCTCTCTTTTCTTCGTCCGACGGGCCGTCTCAGATTACATCAAGCGGATGCGCTACTGCGAGTACCTGGGCAAATACTTCTGCCAGTGCTGCCACGAGAACGCCCAGATGGTCATCCCCAGCCGCATTCTCCGCAAGTGGGACTTTGGCAAATACTACGTCAGCAACTTCTCCAAGGACCTGCTGCACAAGATCTGGAACGATCCCCTCTTCAACATGCAGGACGTCAACGCCGCCCTGTACCGTAAGGTCAAGCCGCTCAACCAAGTCAGGGTAAGGCATCTGGCGCTTGCCGACGCGCTTTGGGTGAGAACCACAGCATGGGAAGGGACCTTGGAGGTCTTCCAGTCCAGTCTTCCAGTCCAGAATTCCTGAGCCAGCATGGGGGAACTATGGCCCCTTCATGACTCATGGACTTCAACTCCCAGAATTCCTGAGCCAGCAGGGGGAACTATGGTCCCTTCATGACTCGTGGACTTCAACTCCCAGAATTCCTGAGCCAGCAGGGGGAACTATGGTCCCTTCATGACTCGTGGACTTCAACTCCCAGAATTCCTCAGCCAGTGTGGGGGAACAATGGCTCCTTCATGACTTGCAGACTTCAACTCCCAGAATTCCTCAGCCAGCATGGGGGAACTATGGCCCCTTCATGACTCATGGACTTCAACTCCCAGAATTCCTCAGCCAGTGTGGGGGAACTATGGCCCCTTCATGACTGGCGGGCTTCAACTCCCAGAATTCCTCAGCCAGCATGGGGGAACTATGGCCCCCTCATGACTCATGGACTTCAACTCCCAGAATCCCTGAGCCAGCATGGCTCAGCTTGGAAACCTCCCTTTCCCCTCAGCACGGCTGGCTCAGGAATTCTGGGAGTTGAAGTCCACGGGTCATAAAAGAGCCAAGGTTGCCTACCTCTGGTCTAGGGGTCTCCTGCTCAAGCAGGGGGTTGGTCTAGATGACCTCCAGGGTCCCTTCCAACTCTTGTCACTCTGTTACCCTGAACTCCTGTCTTCTTGGTCTCTTCCAGCTTCTGAGAATTCAGCTGTACCACATGAAGAACATGTTCAAAACCTGTCGCTTAGCTAAAGGGTAAGGACACCAGGAAACTTTTTCGGAGAGCCCCTTCGTTAACGTAGAGTGGGAGTAGGCTGTGAGCAGCGGGGAGTTGGTGCCAGGGCAGATGCCACAGTGAGGAGGCTGACCGAGTGTGTGTCAGCTGTGAGAAAAGGGAAAATCCAGGCTCAGGAACATTAGAAAAAGGAAAATGGTTAATATCCTTATCCAGACTTACAATCCAGTTACGTCTCTCCGGAGGCTACTATCAAAATAATACAAAGAGTCCTCGACGTACGATCACAATTTAGCCCAACGTTTCTATTGCTAAGCAAGACCGCTGCTAAGCGAGTCGTGCCCCGTTTTACGACCTTTCTGGCCACAGTTGTTAAGTGAATCGCTACACCTGTTAGTAAGACAGTTGTCAAGGGAATCTGCCTTCCCCGCGGACTGTACTTGTCACAAGGTTGCACAAGGTGATCCCCTGACTTCGGGGCCCTGCAACGGTCGTTAAGTGTGAACTACTTGCCCAGCGTTCCGATTCTGGTCACGTGAGCCTGGAGATGCTAAAACGGTCACAAGTGTGAAAAACAGTCCCAAGTCATTTTTTCTTTTCAGCGCTGTTGTAATTTTGCCCGGTCAGTAAACAAATGGTAAGTCGAGAACTACCTGTATCTATAGTTTTATTTCCAGGAGAAGAGACTCTTTGTAGCTCAGGGCTGAACTGTGGGGTCCTTGGTGCTCTCTGAGCTGGGTGGTTTCCTTGCGGACGTTTCACTGCCCAACTAGGTAACATCATCTGTGCTAGAAGGGAGGGGGGCTTGTGGAGAGGAAAAGGAAGAGGAGAAGAGAAAGAAAAAGAAAGAAAGAAAGAAACAGAAAGAAAGAAGAAGAAAAAGAAAGTGAATTGTAGGGTCCTTGGTGCTCTCTGAGCTGGGTAGTTTTCTTGCAGACGTTTCATGACCCAACTAGGCAACATCATCAGTGCTTGAAGGGAGGGGAGTTTGAGGAGGAGGAGGAGGAGGAGGAAAGAAAAAGAAAGAGAGAGAGAGAGAGAGAGAGAAAGAAAGAAAGAAAGAAAGAAAGAAAGAAAGAAAGAAAGAAAGAAAGAAAGAAAGAAAGAAAGAAAAAGAATGAATTGTCGGGTCCTTGGTGCTCTCTGAGCTGGGTGGTTTCCTTGCAGACATTTCATGACCCAACTAGGCAACATAATCAGTGCTTGAAGGGAGGGAGATTTGAGGAAGAGGAGGAGAGAAAAAGAAAGAGGAAAGAAAGAAAGAAAGAAAGAAAGAAAGAAAGAAAGAAAGAAAGAAAGAAAGAAAGAAAGAAAGAAAGAAGAAGAAAAAAGAAAGGATTGTGAGGTTCTTGGTGCTCTCTAAGATGGTTGGACCCATCTAGGCAACATCATCAGTGCTAGAAGGGAGGAGGAGGTGGAGGAGAGAAAAATAAAGGAAAGGAAAGAAAGAAAGAAAAAGAAAGAAAGAAAGAAAGAAAGAAAGAAAGAAAGAAAGAAAGAAAGAAAAAGAAAGAAGAAAAAAGAAAGGATTGTGAGGTTCTTGGTGCTCTCTAAGATGGTTGGACCCATCTAGGCAACATCATCAGTGCTAGAAGGGAGGAGGAGGTGGAGGAGAGAAAAATAAAGGAAAGGAAAGGAAAGAAAGAAAGAAAAAGAAAGAAAGAAAGAAAGAAAGAAAGAAAGAAAGAAAGAAAGAAAGAAAGAAAAAGAAAGAAAGAAAGAAAAAGGATTGTGGGGTCCTTGGTGCTCTCTGAGCTGGGCTGTTTTCTTTCAGACATTTCACTGCCCAACTAGGTAACATCATCAGTGGTAGGAGGGAGGGGGGGTTATATCGTATACAAACAAAGAGAAACCCGACACCCAGCGCTGATGGCGTCACCTCGTTAGGCAATGAAACATCTGCAAGAAAACAGCCAAGCTCAGAGCGCCGGGGATCCCACAGTCTCCTCCTCCTCCTCTTCCTCTTCCTCCTCCTCCCAGAAAACCCCCCTCCCTTCTAGCACTGACGACGTTACCTAGTTAGATCATGAAACGTCTGCAAGAAAAAAAAAAACGAAGCTCAGAGAGCACCAAGGGCCCCACACAGCCTGAGCCACAACATTTGAAAAGGAAACGGTGGGAAGCAAACCTGGTTACTCGCTTGACAATTAAAAATGGGGAGTTGGGCAGGACTTTTCCGGAGAGGAGGGTGAGACCCCGTTGTGCCACTGCCGACCACCTGGCTGCTCTTTCCCTCCAGGCTTCTGGATGCCTTTGATGCGGTGCCGGGTCACCTGACCGAGGACCTTCACCTTTATTCCTTAAATGACCTGAGCGCCATCAAGAAGGGGGATCTGGTTCCCCGCCTGACCGAGCTCCTCCGGGTGGGAGAACTACACGTTGAGAAATGCATGGTGAGTGTGGGGACCCCCTTCCTTCCTTCCTTCCTTCCTTCCTTCCTTCCTTCCTTCCTTCCTTCCTTCCTTCCTTCTCTTTCTTTCTTTCTTTCTTTCTTTCCTTCCTTCCTTCCTTCTTTCTTTCTTTCTTTCTTTCTTTCTCTTCCTTCCTTCCTTCCTTCTTTCTTTCTTTCTTTCTTTCCTTCCTTCCTTCCTTCCTTCCTTCCTTCCTTCCTTCCTTCCTTCCTTCTTTCTTTCTTTCTTTCTTTCTTTCTTTCTTTCTTTCTTTCCCTTCCTTCCTTCCTTCCTTCCTTCCTTCCTTCCTTCCTTCCTTTTCTTTCTGAAATTGACGTGCTTGGAAAGTTGTCGTAGTTGAAAAACGCAGCCTTACACTCCCCCCTACAGGCAGGATTAGGAACTTTCCTAGAAGAAGCTATTGGGGGAGGGAACTGGACGTTTTCCTTGCTCATTCCCGTCTCCTTCCCACCTTCCTTCCTCTCATTTCTGTCTCTTCTCCTCTTCCCCTTTCTTCCTTTCTCCCTCTCTCATTCTTCCTCTCCCTCCCTCCTTCCTCATTTCTGCCTCCTCTCCCTTCCTATTTCTGTCTCCTCTTCCCTCTTTCCATCTCTCCCTCCCTTTTTCTTCCTTCCTTCCTTCCTTCCTTCCTTCCTTCCTTTTTCTTTCTTTCTTTCTTTCTTTCTTTCTTTCTTTCTTTCTTTCTTTCTTTCTTTCTTTCTTTCTTTCTTTCTTTCTTTCTTTCTTCTTCTTTCTTCCCTTCCTTCCTTCTGTGGTGGCACAATGGTTAGAATGCAGCATTGCAGGCTAATTCACTGCCCACAGCCAGAGTTTGATCCTCACCAGCTCATGGTTGACTCAGCCTTCCGTCCTTCCGAGGTCGGTAAAATGAAGATCCAGATTGTTTGGGAGGGGGGCAATAGGCTGACTCTGTAACCTGCTTAGAGAGGGCTGTAAAGCATTGTGAAGCGGTGTATAAGCCTAAGTGCTATTCCTTCCTTCCTTTCCTCCCTCCCTCCCTCCCTCTCTCCAATTCTTCCTTCCTCCCTCCTTTCTTCCCTCCCTCCCTCTCCAATTCTTCCTCCCTTCCTTCCTTCCTTCCTTCCCTCCCTCCCTCCCTCCCTCTCCAATTCTTTTTCCTTCCTCTCCCTCCCTCCCTCCCTCCCTCCCTCCCTCCCTCCCTCCCTCCCTCCCTTCCTTCCTTCCTTCCAGGAAGTCCTGGAATCTCCCTCTCGAAGAGCGGAGTGAAACCCAAACAGTGGGATTGTTGCCTTGCGTTAGTCCATATTTTTTTTTCTCTTCTCCCCCCAGCTGTGTCAAGCGAAGGGCTTCATCTGTGAATTCTGCCAGAATGAGGAGGACATCCTGTTTCCCTTTGAACTCAGCAAATGCAAAACGTGTGAAGGTAAGCGATCAAACAGGAAGGCTAATCCCCTAACACAGGGGGTCTTCCAACTTGGCCTTTTGATGACTTGTGGACTTCCACTCCCAGAATTCCTCAGCCAGCCTCCATTTTGTTTGTTAGATTTAAGACAGGGGTCTTCAAACTTGGCCCTTTTATGACAGGTGGACTTCAACTCCCAGAATTCCTCAGCCAGCCTCCATTTTGTTTGTTAGATTTAAGATAGGGGTCTTCCAACTTGGCTCTTTTATGATTTGTGGGCTTCAACTCCCAGAATTCCTGAGCTAGCGTGGGGGAACTGTGGCCCCTTCATGACTTGTGGACTTCAACTCCCAGAATTCCAGAGCCAGCATGAGAGCACTATGGCTCCTTCATGACTCGTGGACTTCAACTCCCAGAATTCCAGAGCCAGGTACGCGTGAGGAATTATGGGAGTTGAAGTCCACATGTCATCAAAGGGCCAAGTTGGAAGACCCCGGCCCTAACACCTTTTATGTTTAAGTCAAGAATTTATTTGGGGCCTAAGAAAGACCAAACATCCCCATATTCCAAAACTATTTCACACAGTGTCGAACAAGGAGGGTACACAGCCATTGGTTGGTGGTCTTCAACACAACTGTCCGGACAATTTATACACAGATCGTTACCAGCCGAAGCTTCCTTACATGCAGGCTATAATTTCTGACAATCCGTTCACGAATGCCGGAAGTCTGGGAGGGTCTCAGCTTGAGAAGGGGGTTGGACTAGAAGACCTTCGAGGTCCCTTCCAGCTCTATTATTCTGTTAGCCCAGGGGTAGGCAACCTTGGCTCTTTTATGACTGGTGGACTTCAACTCCCAGAATTCCTGAGCCAGCCATGCTGAGGGGAAAGAGAGGCTTCCAAGCTGAGCCAGGCTGGCTGAGGAATTCTGGGAGTTGAAGTCCATGAGTCACGAAGGGGCCATAGTTCCCCCATGCTGGCTCAGGAATTCTGGGAGTTGAAGTCTACGAGTCATAAAGGGGCCATAGTTCCCCCCACGCTGGCTTAGGAATTCTGGGAGTTGAAGTCTACGAGTCATGAAGGGGCCATAGTTCCCCCATGCTGGCTCAGGAATTCTGGGAGTTGAAGTCCATAAGTCATGAAGGGGCCATAGTTCCCCCATGCTGGCTCAGGAATTCTGGGAGTTGAAGTCCACAAGCCATGAAGGGGCCATAGTTCCCCCATGCTGGCTTAGGAATTCTGGGAGTTGAAGTCCACGAGTCATGAAGGGGCCATAGTTCCCCCATGCTGGCTCAGGAATTCTGGGAGTTGAAGTCCACGAGTCATAAAAGAGCCAAAATTGCCTACCCCTGTGTTAGCCCAACAGCAAAAAAAAAAAAAAATCTCTTACACGTAGTCCCTGACTTAACAACCACAATGGAGCAAAAAAAAAAAGGCGGACTGTTGGAAGCTCTGATGCTCTCCACGACTCCTTCGCTCCTCTTTGATTCCTTCTTTTTTTCTCCACCCCCCCTCCCTCCCCACAGAGTGCAGAGCTTGCTACCATAAGGGCTGCTTCCAGTCGGGACCTTGCCCCAGATGTGCCCGCCTTCAAGCGCGGCGGGAACTCTTAGCCAAGCAGAGTCTGGAAGCCGATCTCTCGGATTATGAGCCGGAGGAGGACACGGTAGGAGCAGCCACGTGACGGCCGAGAACCTGCAGGTCGCCGTCCGGCCTGCGCCCTTCGAGCACCGGACTGACCGACGGACAAAGCTGGATGCTCTCTTCCCCCCCCACACACACGCTCCCTAGCCAGCACTTCGCAACTCAGCCCGGAGAAGGGAAATCCTTCCTGGACGAGAACTGACGTCTGGCGCCAACTCAGAGACACAACGAAGAAGGATGCTTCTTTCTACCGAAAGGCACAGGAGACGATTTGGGGCGCGCCCCGTCTAGAACCCAGGACTTTGCTCCATCCACGGAGAGAAGCCGATGATGGGCTTTTTCCGGAGGCCGAATTCCCCCGACAGGATCCGGCCGCGCTCCTAAAAGGGAAAAGCCTCCTGTCCTGTTTGACTGGCCGTTATCGGTTGCTGTGTTGGGGTTGGTTTTTTTTTTTTTCCTTTTTGGTCTTTTTAAATTTTTAATATATTTTTTTCGGATCACCCCATCCTCGCCTCCAATTCTCTTTATTCTTCTTTGCTAAACCTCGCTCCTGTTTTGTCCGATTTGGCAAAGGAGCCAGGAAAAAGGATTGGGGGGGGGGGGATACAAACTATTAGGCCTGTCCCTTTTTCCAATCTTGGGAGAAAGTTAGTGGGGAAAGGGAGTGGAATAACCAGAATGGGAAAGCTGGATTTGAGCGGGGCTGAAAGGATTTAAAAAAACAACAACAACTCCTTTCTCAGCTCCTTAAAAGGATCTGTGCGTGAGAACACACAGACCCACAAGCTCACGGTCGTTTTTCTCTTCTCCCTGTTTGTCTGAAAGGTCTCGTCAGAGGAATAATGTCGGTTGAGTTGCAAACGGGACAATTCCTCCAACGAGAGGAATATATATATGTAGGTCTTTGGTTGTTCAGGTTTTCTCCCGCGTAAAATTGGAAGTGTCTTGGCGACGTTTCGACGAAGTCCCATCCGTCATCTTCAGGCTGGTGTTTTCAGCTTCGTGCCTGGCTGAGGAATTCTGGGAGTTGGAGTCCACAAGTCAAAAGGGCCAAGTTTGAAGACCCCTGGACTTCAATTCCCAGAATTCCTCAGCCAGGCACGCTGGCTGAGGAATTCTGGGAATTGAAGTCCACAAGTCAAAAGGGCCAAGTTTGAAGACCTCCTGGACTTCAACTCTCAGAATTCCTCAGCCAGGCATGCTGGCTGAGGAATTCTGGGAATTGAAGTCCACAAGTGATAAAAGAGCTAAGTCTGAAGACCCCTGTTCTGAAAAAAAAAAATGGGAAACTCAAAAAAAACAATTGATTTTGATCCCTTCTTTGCTCCACATCCATTCTGGTTTAACTGCTCTCATTTCCCCCTAATCAAATCTTCAACTAAATTTGCACACAGCCATTTTTTTCCTGGAAGAACTCTTACCCTTTTCGTAGTTTTGCAGCCGAGCTACGCGGAACACCAGTTTAACCTCAGCGTTTAACCTCAGCGTCGTTAATCCGAATAATTTTAACCTTGAAAGTCCCAATCTCACCCTGATGACTACATTTATATTAAGGATATTTATGTTTGCCTTGCTCCTATTTCCCCCCCCCCTTCAAAAACCTGGCTCCCCGCACACTTCTTTTTAACGCACTTGGAAAAAAAAACACAAATGCACACTGCGTGTTTTTTTTTTAACCAGGTTCCTTCCACTGTGCTGCTTCAAGCAAATATTTGAAGATTTTTGGAGACTCCAAAACGTTTATTTCCCTTTTGCTAGCAAAGCCATTTTTTTCTAAAAAGCACTGATTCGGTTTTTACAAAAACCAGCAAGGAGGGGGTGGATTCTGAAGGGTTCACTTTAGAAATAGCAGAAAGTACCAAAAGATGCACACAAGGGGGATTTAGGATGCTAAATGGTGCTGTTGATTTAATGCCCATTTGGCAAAAAAAACCCCACAAAAACCCTGTTTCCTACCTGTATTGAGTGAAATACTCTTTGTAAAAATTAAGAGGAACCTGGTTGAATCCATCTGTTATTCCAGTAAAGTGTAACCATGGAAATGTCATCGGTAATAAAACTAATAATAATACTCAGGCTGCATCTCTGGTATATTGGTGGAGTGCTTCACACAATAAATTCACGAAAAATGCTTGATGGATTGGTCGCTGTACCGGTCCCTCCCAAATGATGTAGCCCTTGACTTACAACCGTTTGTAAACTGGCAGGAATAGCCAACCCTCCAGAAGACAGGCTTAAGATACAGGAGGATCTGGACAGGACTCGAACACTGGGCACTATCTAACAAAATGAAATTCAACGGTGAAAAAAGTAAGGCTCGACATTTAGGCAAGAAAACCCAAATGCACAGGTATAGTACTCTAGGTGGTGCCTTGCTCAATAGTAGCAACTGTGAGAGGGATCTCAGTCCTAATGGACATTCACTTAAATGTGAGCCAGCCGTGTGCTGCAGCTGCCAAAAAAGGCCAACACAGTGCTGGGCTGCATTAACAGAGGGAGAGAATCAAGATCAGGTGAAGTGTTAATACCACTTTACAAAGCCTTGGTAAGGCCACACTTGGAATCCTGCATCCAGTTTTGGTCACCACGATATAAAAAAGATATTGAGACTTTGGGTGGTTTCTAGCCTGCAGATCAAGCTTACTTTTCCTCCGCAACAGTGAGTGTCTTTATTGCTCTTGTCCTTTACAAGGAGAGAAGCAGGTGTCCGCCAGCGTGGAGGGTGGCCTTTCACCAAGGCTACTGGGTGAAGCGTTGAGGACTATATTTGCGCTCAAACTGGGCAACATCAAACTTCCTCTTGCAACCGGCATAATTCATGTAGCGGATTTTGCCAAAGACGGCCCGTTCAGCCCATCCTTGGTCGTGGATCCCACAGATTGACCACATGCAGCCTAGCAGAGAGAGAGAGAGAGAACGAGATATATCATCATATATATCATATATATATAGTATGATCAATATAGTATATAATAGTATAATATATAATATAGCATAATATATAATATAATATAGCATAGTATATAATATTAATGTAGTATGATCAATAGTAAAATATCTAATATAGTATAGCATAATATATAATACGTAATGTAATATAATATATATAGTATAATCATAGTATATAATAGTATATATAACAGCATAATATAATATAGTATGATCAATAGTAAAATATATCTAATCTAATCTAATCTAAATACAGTATGATCGATATAGTATATAATAGTATAGTATATAATATAGCATAATATAATATATAATTAATATAGTATGATCAATAGTAAAATATGTAATATCTAATCTAACCTAATATATAGTATGATCACTATAGTATATTAGTATAATATATAACAGCATAATATAATATATAATTATAGTATGATCAATATTAAAATATATATAATGTAATGTAATGTAATATAATATAATATAATAATATATAGAAAGATGTATCTTACTTTAAGTCAGTGGTTCTCAACCTTTCTAATGCCGCGACCCCATAATACAGTTCCCCATGTTGTGGTGACCCCCAACCACTTATACATCACCGGGTGCCAGGGGCGTGGCCAAAGAAAAGGGGGAAAAAATGGCGGACAGCCTTGTTTGGCGACCCCCATGAAATGGTCGTTTGACCCCAAATGGGGTCCCGACCCACAGGTTGAGAACCGCTGCTTTAAGTGATACATTCTATTGACATGGATGCACTCACAATGTAATCTAAAATATCTAATCTAATCTAATCTAGAAAGATCTATCCGAGTTTAAGTAACACACACTGTTGGCGGATGGATGCACACACCCTCTGTGCCCTAACTACCGTCGATTTCCAAGAGATACCCAGATCTCAACTCCCGGTCCGATTCCTCGCTCAGAGGTTGTGCGATCCGTCGCCACGATGCTCAGGAAAAGAGGCCTTCCAAGTAAAACCCAAAACTTATGAAACTCCACCTATTACGCATGTCATTTGGCTGTACAGGGGGTCCTCGCTTAACGACTGTCCTGTTTAGCAGGGGCAGAGAGAAACCCAAAGGCTGACGGTCCTTTACCTCCTTTGGTGACCTCCCAGCCTCTCCATCACTCACCTACGTATCCGTTGGGGTCTCGGCCGTCCAATTCGTAGCGGTCATTCAGGTAGATGCTGAACTGCAGGGCCTCTTCTGGTGACCTGGTCCACTCCAAGATCTTCTTGGCCCAGTACATCCGCAGGAAGCCGTGCATCTTCCCCTCGTGAACCATCTGGAGCTGAGATGGAAGGTGGGGAAGAACCGGTGAGCCTCACATTTCCTTGGAGAAAACTAAGAGTCACGCGGGAACCAATGTAAAACCATGGCATCCTTGAGGTGGAGGGACCACTTCAAGGTCTTTTAAGCTAACTCTCTACCAGGGCAGGAACTTTCAGATTCTTCCAGATAAATGGCCACCCATCTTTGTTTGAAAAGCCCAGTGATAGGCCCTATAACCCCATCAGGGTTTAAATTATTCTCCAACGCACTTGAGGGCAGGACAAAAAGCAACGGATGGAAACTAATCAAGGAGAGGAGCAACCTAGAACTAACCTAAGAGAACAATAAACCAGTGGAACAGCTTGCCACTAGAAGTTGTGAATGCTCCAACACTGGAAGTTTTTAAGAGACTGGGAGAATGGGGAAAATGCAACGCAGGCTACAGAGATAAAGAAGACAGACCACGAGAATCAAGGACGATTCACCAGGTGTCTGACCTGACTCAGAGACATTTTCTCATAACAATATATTTATACCTAAACTGGGCAATGTGACCTGTTCAAGGATGGGAGGGGGGATTCTATATTTTGACTATAGGGGTTTGGCTTGAGCTGGTTTTGCTTTCATACGTGCCAAAATGATGTACTCAATAAAGTTTTACATTAAGAGATCGGAATGTCTCAAAGGTGTTTGCTTGATTGGGTTCGTCAGTCGGAACTTTGACAGCATACCCAGTTCCTTTCACGTTCTTCACAGAATTTAGCCTCCAAGCCCTTCAGTTACTCTTCTCTGTGGTCTTTTTAATTCCCCAGCAAGAAGGAAGCTGTACACTTATCGAGCACCTTAATATTTAAGTTCAACAATGCTCCATCCACAGCATTCCCTTCGTCTATTGATCTAGTCACTTGGTCAAAAAAAGCAGCCACTCTTGTTTGCCACAACTTATTTTTAACAAACTACTAGAAGGACTGGGGGGGGGGGAATGATAGCAGTGTTCCAGTATTTGAGGGGCTGCCACAAAGAGGAGGGGGTTTGACTTATTCTCCAAAGCACATGAAGGCAGGACAAGAAGCAACGGATGGAAACTAATCCAGGAGAGAAGCAACCTGGAACTAAAGAGAAACTTCCTAACAGGGAGGACAATTAACCAGTGGAACAGCTTGCCACCAGAAGTTGTGGGTGCTCCATCACTGGAGGTTTTTCAGAAGAGACTGGACAGTCACTTGTCTGAAATGATATAGGGTCTGCTGCTTGAGTAGGGGGCGGGACTAGATGACCTCCAAGGTCCCTTCCAGCTCCATTCTGATTCTAAAACACTACTCCTAATCAGCTTCTTTTCCTCACGATTGCAATTCCAACCTGGCTGATTTCTTTTCCAGAATCTTCCTTGAGGTTGATGTCCATCTGATTTGTTTAGGGCTGAATTGTCCCAAAGGGATCTCCAGAGAAGCCGGCCATCACATCAACGTCTCAGTGTTGTCCCCCCTACAACTCACTTTGTAAGCTTGCTCTACAGATGTTCTCCTATCGCCTTCTAAAAACATCTAAGCTACGAGCTGCCAACCCGTATCAGATCAAAGATGGGCATAAATTAATTAGATATGCCCCCAAAACAGTCCTCTGGCTGCTTAGTCCTTCTGAACGATCCAGAGCTTGTTCAGGTAGTCCCTCAATTTGCAACCGTTTGCTTAGCGACCTTTCAAACGGACACTAAACGCCACCGAAAAAGTGACCGACGACCGTTTTTTTCACACTTAGAAACAATCGCAGCGTCCCTGCGGT